CTCCAGGCTGGCTCTCCTCTCCTATTATCGTGGAAGGCGTCTCACAAAAACCCTGGGCGGCAGTTGGAAACTGCTGCGCGGTGTTTTGTTGCCACTTGTGCGGCTGCGCACCCGCGCAGCTTAGAGGGAACATTGAGTACAATTTGTAACAGTTGCATGTCATTCCAGTTGCATCTACTTGTCTTTGTTTCTTTTTAAATATGACAATCACAGCCAAAATTCTTTTATCTGTCTATGAACTGCATATCCTTCCTATGGCCTTCAGTTAGATCATGGGTATCAAACTCGCAGTGTCACATTGCCATTACGTGACGTTTCATGACATTTTCCCCACTCACAGAGCTGGGGTGGACGTGGCCTACAGATGATGCATCTGGCCCATGGGCCACCAGTTTGACACCCCTGAATTCACTGAGTAAAGCGTCACTTTAAAATAATGATATAACTTCAAAAACCAACCCAACTCAGGGAAGGGATTTTAAACTCAATACCTAATGTTTGATAATAGAAGTTAATGATTAATGGTTCTTTTAGTACAACTCCAGTGTTCATGACTGTGAAGGCTACTATAGTTTTCGATTATCCTAACATTGGGTAATGCAAGACCAATCCTAGAAACTGGTGATAGGTGATACAGAGGAATAAATTTGGCAGCTTCCCAAGCAAGCCACTGTACTAGAAACCAGAACTAGTATTGCATGTGACTGTCCTGGGTCCTTCAGCAGTTCTGTAAGCTTTCATTGGTGGATTTTAGAATAAAGTACAACAATAGGTTGCCTTATACCTCCTGCAGCAAAATATTCTGTACTGGCCTTGTAAAAATTTTACTAGTCTCTTTTATTGATTTTCATATGTTGTCTCAATGGTCAACAATACACATTATCAGTTAGATACAACTGAGTCTACTTTAATATTAACTCTTACACTTCTTTCTAGAAAATAACAAGAACTGAAATACTGAAAAAATATGAATGGACTGGAGAAGGGTGTCACTAAGTAAGTTGGCCTCTCTGAACCCACTCACATCTTCATCTCCCATTTCTCCACTTCTGGCTGTTTTCCCCTCCTCAGGACACATGACCATTAATTTATATATGTTCTATATTTCTCTCCTCCAAGCAGCCATGCTGATTTCCTTCAGTTAATCAGCAGTGACATCTTTATTAGTCTCTTCTTTTACTTTTTGTAAAAAGATTGGATACGGTACAGAGAGAAGCTGCAGTTTCACTTAGCAACTTGGTTTTCCAAAAGGTCTCCTGGAAAAATGGGTATGTTACTTGCGCATGACCTCAGCTATCTCTATAGGACATTGTACTTCAAAAAGTTAGAAAGAGAAAGCAATTCATATTTACTAAAAGAAAGAAAAAACATCTACTGAAGGATAGATATAAAATTAATGTATTGGAGAGAGAAGTGTTTCAGAATGAGGATAATTCTTTTCTATATATGACACAAGTTATGTGGTAATTACATTTGATAGCCATTTGCACTGCAGAGATTCCACACTGATGAAATGGACCTAGTGATTCCCCCTGTAAATGGATGTGAAATTTGGATTTGATTTATAGTGGTTAAAGAAATTTTAAATTAGGAATATGCAACTTTTCCACAATCTTTATCTGTAGAGATAACATGTTTAGGAAATATTTAGAATACTCTAAAAATGTTTGGACTATTTCAACACTCCAATATATGTGAAAGATTTTAATTAATGTATTTTTGGAGTATAAGACACACCTTTTCCCCCTGCAAAAGGGGGTGAAAATCTGGGTGTGTCTTCTACACTGAATAAACATTTTGTCCCCCTGAAACCCCGCCCCCACACATCCTGTTTTTTGCAAAAATGGATGTGCAGAGGGTTTGAGAAGCCAGCAAAGTGCTCCTAGGGACTAGGGAGGGCAAAAAACGAGCAAAAAACAAGCTGGTAGTCCGAAATAGTCAAAAAAATACAGCATTTTAAAAAACTAGAGATTTTAGCAATATTTTGATAAATGCAGCAATATTTGTAAATTCTTATACCTTGGACATCTTCGATTTAGTGTCAGTAATAAGGAAAGACATATTGTTGATTTCATTTTGCACCACAAAGTTCTGTTCTTCCCTTTTAAAATTCTGCAATGTTACAAAAAACATAAAAATACAATGTATTACAAAATTCACTATCTGGCTCTTTCATTGCCCCCTTCACATTGAATCTTAAAATTTATATAAGGCTATACAATTGCATTATAAAATCTTAATCTATATAATGGTATAAAAAGATTTTTAAAGTTCTCTTTTTTTCAACAAAACTGAACATTATATGCAAATAAACAACATCTTTCTTTTGAGGAAATATATTTTCCCTATTGCTCCCTTTCAAATTGTTTGCAAAAGAACCGTCTCCAATATTTTCCAGACAAATAAAAACAAATACTTTGAATCCTTAAGATATCATGACAAGAAATGCTAAGTACTAGAAGAAGGTTTGATTCTAATTATCCCTTTTGAAAAACAAATCAGAATAGAAAAGAGATAGCTCAGAAAATGCCTTAGACTCTTTATGGATGTATCTGGTATTTGTCCTTTACTTATAAGATGGAAGAGTAAAGCTTTGCACAACAAATTGCAAAAGAAGAAAACCATTCAAGAATGCTTTCTTTCCTTTCTTTCTATTTTTTATAGACATATCCACATCCACACTTTGAAGTAGCAGAGCGCCAAAAAAGCAAGATGGCACTTGCAACAGTGTAATCTAAACCCTATCCCTTTTGTATGTATATCAATATCACACACATGTACAAAAGGTCAGGACTTTGACTGGACTGCACATCTCATCTGGACGCTGTTGCATCAAGAGCCATTTGCATATATCTGCTATCAATACTCACTACACTTAATACAGCAAGACTCTTAATTATGATTTTTTTACAAAAATACATACATGGGATTTTGACCAGTAAATGAAAACCTCTGCAACCATACGAAACAAATCTTCAGCTTCAGGATTGGGCTCTTTAAGCCATTTTGCTCTGAAATTAAAAATAAAATAAGAAGAAAAACATTTACAGTGGGGCAAAAAAGTATTTAGTCAGCCACCAATTGTG